CCCCCCCCCCCCCTTTTTTGTATATTGCCCTGCCTATGTGCACCTTTCCCTGTTTTTGCTAGTTTCGAACGGGAAGCTGCTGTTTTGTTTTTGTTTATGTTGATCTCGCATCTCTACAGAAGGATCATATTGATATTCTGATCTCATTTAGAAGTTATTGTATGTTTTACAGCAAACTGTAGACTTGCAACCCCCCATGCTCCACCAGTATAGCGTAAGGTGAACTGGTTGCTCTCCCAATGCAAGGAACACAATGTATTCATTGGCTGTTTTGTTTGATTTAAAGATAATCTGTCTATTTGCCCATCCAGGGTAACGTGACAGGTTCTCTTTGCATCCCATCTACTGAAACCTCTCCATTCCTCCGTTGAGCCTTGGGTCTAATCTCTGTGTAAGCTCCATGTCCGAGCTTATAGAAGGGTAATGTTTACCCCTTCCCATGGCTTGTGAATGAATGGCCTAAGCACTGCATTCTGGGAGGAAGGGTAGGAGGTCACATGCTCCTTCATACCCAGTACTGGATATAAGCGGGTTTCAACATACAAATGGCGTGGCAGGAAAACACCGCAAAGCAGGGGTGGGGAAATCTGGTCCTCCGGCTCTTGTGAAACTACAAGTCCCAGTCCCAAGCAGGACTGACAGTACAGGCATGACTCCCAGAGGCGGAGGCATGTTAGGATTTGTAGTTAAAGCACAGCTGGAGTGCCCACGCCTGCAGCAAAGACATTGATGGGTTGGAAGGAGCTTTCAAGATAATCTAAAAATGTGACTGGTTCTCTTTAAGCATATCCTTGTTTAGAAGCTAACCTGCTACGTTTTATTCAGTCGGGTGTTCTTCCTTGGTCACTAACGCACTCCTTTTAATTCTCATTTCCTCCGCACAGGTCGCGTGTCCAACACGCATAGAGCGGTCACAGCCGGACTGAAGTCATATGAACCACCCCCGGATTTTAACAGTGAGTTGTAGAACCAATCCATTTATTTATATAAACACGGAGACCTTTATCATTGTATAAGGCGAACTCTGGAAGATGAGACACAAATGAATGACAATGTTAATGTCACTTTAAAAGTCATTTGCAGTCTTTTTTTTAATAATCTGCAGCTTTCATTAACCACCCGCTGTCCGGCCATTGTCATTAAACGGCTGGACAGCGGCTTCTTGATGCGGGTGGGCGTTTTAAAGTCCCCTCCCCTCCCCGCCCCGCTCGTGTCTGCCGCTAGGCAAAGTGTACGAGCTAATGCCTTAAAGTGTATTTCACCTTTGCACTCAAGTTTGAGAAAATGTCTTTTTATGTGTTTTTTTTGTGTGTGTTCCTATTCACGCACAATACTTAAAAATATATTTTTACAAACATTCTTACCTTTTTAGATGTCTGGGTTGGGTCCTTTCCTAGCTTCTCTCTCTCGGTCTGAGACCGGTACAGCGGCTCTGTGACCGGAGATCAAAGAAAGTTCAGTACACGATCTCCCTCTGATCTCTCCGAATGCAGGAGTGATGCTGCTCCCTGGCTAGAGAAGCTGGTGAAGCAGAACTCTGCTTACGCAGCTTCTCTGGGGGTCCCTAGGTGACATTAGAGGTCTTATAGACAACTGATGTCTCCATAAAGAGGACCTGTCACTGAAAATTGGCTATTACATAGGGGGCTTGTTAGCCCCCTATATGAAAGCAATAAAGTTAAGTGAAAAAAAAATTAGTTACAAAAAAAAAGGTCAAAAGTCACACAGGACTAATAATGTGTGTGTGTTTTTTAAAATCCCCCGCCCCCCACAAACACATACATAAACGAAATTTTCGCCCATTGCACTGCACATGTTACATATCACTGAGAAAGTCGCAGTGAGAGCAATCATTTTAAGGCCATTACACTGATAACACTAAACTGATGAGCGTTAAAAGCTTTTAAAGTGTCGCCTAAGGCCAATTTCTGGTGTGGTTGTTTATTTGCAATTTCACAGGCACACACAATTTTAAAGGTTAAGGCTTTTCCCCACAGTTCTCCTAAGGGTAACGGGAGGACAAAAACTAGCGTCCTCCCGTCACCTCGCGGTATACTGAGACGCCGCACCCAGGACGGATCCTGACATTACTGTCAAGATCCACCCAGCTGCGTGATTGACAGCTGGCTCTGCCTATCTAGAGGCAGAGCCAGCTGTACCCGCCCCGTCTGTTCCGTCAGTCAGCGCTGGAGGATCGGACAGGGGAGGGGGGGAATCCCTGCAGGGAGGCGGGAGTGACAGTCACGGCTCTCTACACGGATATATCGAGAAGTGAGCGAGCACCGGTATGTGTTCGCTCACTTCCCGATCTATTGAGCCGACCTGTGACAGTTTCATTGTCACAGGTCGGCTAGAACTATGAGGCTGATTGATTTTCCCTCGCCTCATAGTTCTCCTTTAAAGCTTGAGATGTTTGGTGTTCTTTTACCCAACGTGACCCCGTCTTTTTTTATATTTTACCAAAAATTTGGGTAAGAATAAATATTTTATAACATAATGCAAGAAAACCCTTTTTTTTTAAAAAACATTTTCGTTACGTTTTTCGCTGTATAATAAAAAATAAAACCCCCCCAGTGGTGATTAAATACCACCAAAAGAAATCTCTATCTGTCCCCAAAAAAAATGGTAGGGATGCACCGATACTAGTATCGGTATCGGTGCCGATACCGAGTATTTGGGTGAGTACTCGTACTCGCCCAAATGCTCCGATACCTAGCACGAGTACTTCCTGTATCAGGAAGCCGGGCAGCGCATCATTACACGCTGTCCGATTTCCTGATTGACCAGGAAACGGCTCCATGCTCTCTCGTCTGCCAATCAGGAAGCCGGGTAGCATGCAATGACGCGCTGCCCGGCTTCCCGATTGGTCAGGAATTCAGCAAATCCGGAAGCCGGGCGCCGTTTAATGACGCAGCACCCAGCATTCTGATTGGCCGGGAAGCCGGCATCATGCTCCCTCATCTCATGAATCATAATATTAAGGAAGTGACCTTAAAGCATTAGTTTGTATTGCTTTAGAAAAAATGTGATCTGTCCCTTTAAGAAAAAGTATCAGTAATTGGTATCTGCGAGTACTTGATCAAAAGTATCGGTACTTGTACTCGGTCTTAAAAAAGTGGTATCAGTGCATCCCTAAAAAATGGTATAAAATTCCTTTCGGTACAGTGTTGAATGACGGAATAAATGTCAGTCAAAGTAACACAGAGCTAAATACTGACAAATGACCTGGCCAGGAAGTGGTTAAAATAATACTAGATGATCCCAGAAAGTCCTTTTTTCGGGCATTTCCTTTTATCAGGTAACAACATTCCGCCCCGTGCTACATTGGGCTCCTGTGTTGTCACACCGACTCTCAATGGATATTACAAATAGACGTTTCATTGCACATTACGCAGACATGGTCCACTATTGTCACCACGAGGAGACTCGCCCTGAGGAATGCTGGGGTGCATGTAGACAGGAAGTGGATGGGAGATCAGCAGCACTGAAAAGCAGCAAAGGATTAAAAAAAATAGGCAAAAAGAGGCCATTGTTTATGATACACAGCGTTTAAAGAAGAACTCTGCTTTATTCGACTTCCCTAGACAAAATGGGCACAACCTTTTGTAGCACGGGGCAGAAGAGGGGGATTGTGGGGAATGCAGAGGCACAGAAGTCTCTACTCCTTGCTGGGCGCAGGCTGCAGCGCTCTGTGTACACAGACCGCAGCATGCAACGGCTCCCAGCGGGGAGGAGAACGAAGGGGCAGAGGTGGCATTGACTAATCGGAAACCAACTAATCGATAGTTATTGATTAAATCGATTAGTTGTTGCATTTTGTGACAATGGTCCCTGGGACCATTGGAGAGAGCAAATTTTCTCAATGGAGATACATTGAGTGTACCTGCCTTTTTGGTAATCTAAAATTTTAAAAAAAGTTTACGTGTGAGAAGCAGATATTTCTGTTTTGCCTGCAGATCGATCGAAAGGACATGCGTTACATAGTGACCGTTTCTTCTGTTTCACAGAGGTCCAGATGAAGGAGAAACCCAAACTACGCTTTATGAACAGAGCTCCGGACATAGTGAAAGTGGTGAGAGTGCCCAGGAGCCTAGGAGACATCCGCGGCCCTGCGACAGAGGGACGGGAGTTCCAGGAAGGAGAATATGGCATCTTGGTAACGATAACCTATAACTAATCCGTATTGTAACTTAAGTAAAATGTGCCCATCGGCACCGGGGTCTCTGTATGTTTAAGTGATAGTAAACTCAGGAGGGAAATCTTACAAATACATTCAGGTATCTTCACTATTAACAACAATGTATCTTATTTGTGTATCAGTCGGCTGCAGATCCTCAAATCATCTGACACTGTCCTTCCTTCTGGAGGGGGGCTACGTCTGTTCCCCATGGTCCCTGTGTGTGTTGTAAAGTAGCCACCGCTCCAAGCTCACATGCAAAAAAAAGTACCAAGAGGGGAGGCACACCCGCACGCATTATACAAGCGATCCAGCAGCTCTACAGCCGCCGGATCGTTTGTATATAAACTGTCATCCAAGAAGCTCCCGGCCGGCCGGGAAGCTACTCGTCTGCCTCCGGCGTCCTCTCGTCACAGACACGGACGAGTGAATTTTCAAGCCCTGGAGATTGTAGTCCATCGCAGTGAGCTCAGAGCGGTGACTACTTTACAACACGCACAGGGACCATGGGGAAGAAAAGTAGCCACCCTCCAGAAGGAAGGACAGTGTCGGCACCAATTCAGAGATGATTTGAGGATCTACAGCCGAGTGACACACAAATAAGTTACATTTTTGTTTAAGGTTCTTGAATGTATTTTTGAGATTGAACTCCTGAGTTTAGTGTTACTTTAAAGCAGGGGTCTCAAACTCGATTTAGTCGTGGGGCCACTGGACAAATTGTTTAGTCCCGTGGTGGCCGCTACTATATACGGTACCAGTTTTAATGTCTGCACATGTTACAAGCGGCAACTATCACTGATTCAAGTTAATGATCAGGTGACAGCCGCTGCATGTACACGCCTGCACACCGCATGTAATCATATGTGATACGATTACATGCAGTTAGGAATCAATCACTATCCCTGGATACACAATTGTGTATCCAGGGATAGTGATTGTTTTTGTAACTGCATGTAATCGTATCACATATGATTACATGCGGTGTGCAGGCGTGTACATTCAGCGGCTGTCACCTGATCATTAACTTGAATGGGTGGCCGTTGCTGCATGTAAATGCCAGATTAGGGATTCCTGCTGCAGGAAAACGCAAGCTTGTGACACAGGAATCCCTAATGGCATCTGAAATATAGGGGGGCCCCCCCCATTCCAATCCCCCACGCACACATAATAATACACTCCCCTCCTTCCAATTCCCCCTCGCATATAAAATCAGAACTGACAGAGCTCGGGCCGGAGCTGACAGGAGCAGCTCGTATGTCCGGTGGCTCGTATATTGATATGCCACCTTTTTTGCTTCTCCACGGACGTTGCAAGTCAACTGGCCAGATAGGTCAGATTCCAGTTGCCTCTGTCGCATGCAGTGGTTCCTCCTGCCGGCTTCTATGTCCCAGAGTGATGTACAATGCAGCAGGAGGAACCACAGTGCATAGTGGAGGAGCAGGTATTTACACACCTGGAAGTTGTACACTGTTGAACACTGGGGAGTTTTTTTTTTTTTTTCGCTGCAACTGCACCTGGTGATTCTGCCAGTAAAAGCAATGCCACTGATTTCCTGCGATAGTGTGATAAGTCTCACTTGGTGTGTTTCTATTGTGACCCTCGTTCCTGAGGAGGGCTATGAGGATACATCCCAACACAAAGTGGGTCAGTCCATTCAACCTTAGGCCCAACTTATCCTAATCCGCTTCAGAGCTCTCCTCTGGGTGACATTGGTTTACACCACTGCAAAAAGCCACGCATCTGTGCCTAAATCACATGCGTACCAACAGATGTGCACAATGCAGAGATTGCAAAGACATTCCCTCCCAAAAAAACACAAAGAAAAGGTGATGCACTACTACTAACAGCACATTACCAAATTTTTAACCAAAGGTCTAACTACTGTAACAGAACTAATGACCAGTTTCCGGAAGCTGTTTGACATTCCTCATTTCGTCTGTATAGCACATCCTGCCTTTTGTAATCCCATGCATCCCAGTTGATTACTATTGATATACTGGATTTTGATGGTGTAACCAGTTTGCACAGTGCGTTTATAAAGTAAAGGGAGACCATACGGTTAGAATGCAATTCGATAAATGAGGGCACGTGAATCAAAAAGTAATAACTGTGAGGGATGAGTTGACAGAGAAAGTAAAAGTACAGTTGTTAGGCAGAGGCAGGTTTGACTTCCCTAACAAGATGAGTTAACAGGGACCACCTAAAGGCAGACCCAGTAGGAGATTGCCAGATAGTTTGGGGTATGGCGTTCCAAAGGAAGGGAGAGGCTCTAGAGAAGTCCTGGAGGTGACAAGGGAAATGGAGAGCAGGGAGTGGTTTGGTGATGTGGCTCAAGGCAGAGTCGTGGATGGCATTGTATGTTAATATTTCGAATGTGATTTATTGGGCAAGTGGAAGCCGGTGGCGTAATTGGCAGAGAGTGGTGGGAGATGTTGAGGATGCGGAGAAGTCTGGGAGTAGCCTTAATCATAGACTGACGGGGGGATACCCTGTGTAAAGGTAGGCCAATGGGGAGGGAGTAATCGTTGACACAAGAGATAACAAGGGAGTGATTTTGTAGAGTTGTGGTGTCATTTCTTAAGAC